AAGGAAGGATAGAGCCAGGTGGGAAATCCAAGCAGAAATAGAGGAGAAAAAGGGTGGAGTCAGGAGACGCCATCCAGCCCCCAAGGAGCAACATGCCAGCAGACCGGTAATGCCATGACCACATGGTAATAATTAGATTATTAGAAATGGGTTAATTTAAATATAAGAGCTAACTAGTAATAGCCTGAGCCACTGCCAAACATTTATAAGTAATATAAGCCTCTGAATAATTATTTGAAAACAGCTATGGGACCAGGCAGGACAGAAAACATCTTTTGTTTACACCTGGGTATGGACCTGGCCAGAGCCCATCCACCTGGCCAGTATTTAATTAAAGCTTGCTTCAAATTTGGCTTTAAACTGTGGTAGTGGTCTTATTCTCAATCAGTGAGATTAACACAAGAATTTTATGATATGATGGTAACTCACAACTATCTGTGACTCCAGTTCCAGAGGACCTGACACATATATGTGTGTGTGTGTGTGTGTGTGTGTGTGTGTGTGTGTGTGATCAATGCACATAAACAAATAAAGAAATTTATGATATGCATGTACATAGCTAATTTTAAAGTCTTCTATATTATTCATTCTTACAAATTGGATAGAAGCAGTTTGACTATTACTTGAAAGAAATTCTTTTTAAACTTGTCATCATGGTCTATTTCCTCTTTCATAAATAAAACTTCTTACCTTATTTTCAGAGCTTTGATATGTAAAATTTGATAAAGAGAAAGTTGTGGTTTTTAAAGAAAACAAGATACATCTTCAGTTTTTCAACTCCAGAAATCCCTCATGAGAGCACACAGATCAGGGACAGAAACGTGTCTTTCATCTCCTTGAGTACTGGGAGCCATGCAGTACTGGAAGTAGCAAGAGACTCCGAGCTTCTGAAAAATGGGCACGGCTCTTAACTGGAAAGTTATAAGCATAAGTCTGAAGATGCAGACCCAGTAAATTTAGTGAGTCATCCCCCCGAATACCCAACTGTGCAGGACAACACCAAACTTTAAATTCTAATACTTCATGTCAAAGCAGAAGAGAAGCAGAGGAATGCTACTCCACTACAGGACCACAATAACAGATCACAGTATTCAAGAAGTAAGCAAAAAGTTAAGAAACATTCCAGTCTTAAAAATATCATTGAGGGAGCTGGAGAGATGGCATGGTGGTTAAGAACACTGGTTGCTTTTCCAGAGGCCAGGGTTTGATTCCCAGCACCCACATGGTACCTCACACCGTAACTCCAATTCCAGGGGAATCCAACATCCTTTTCTGGCTTCCACAGACACCAAGCACACACGTGGTGCAGACATACAGGCAGGCAAAACATCCATACACATGCAATTAACACTGATACAATTAACACAAACCATTAACACTGAAAAATTACATAGGAAAATCTGTGAGAAAGATATGAAAAACTGATTGAAAATAAAATGAAATAAATTGCTATGAATATTAATAAAGGAAAAGGTGCCAAGTGAAATTATAATATTAACAAAAAGAAACAAAAATAACTACAAATAGGGAAGGGATTTAATGAAAACAATTATAAGAGAATGTGGCAATTGATTTAAATACTAAGAGAAAGGACTGTATTTCAATGAAATTTAATGCAAATTAAAATGACTCATGTCAAATTTGAGTAGACAAATTGTATTTAAAACATAGCTACAGGACATGCTTTCATACTGATACTCTAGTTAGCTTTCTGTTTCTGTGACAATTTGATTTTAACTGTGTCCTGGTTCTTCCTTCTCAGAATAAGGAAGTATGTAACCTTCTTTTTCTTTTTCTTTAGGACATTTAAGTGTTGACACTTTTAAAGACTGTGGGGCTTTTAAAAGTTGGAGTGTGTCTTATATTGTAATGCTAACATTAGATCTCAGCGACAATAAATGAAAAGGGATTGGCTTCACGTGATGTGTTCATATCAAAGTTGACAAAGGAGTAGATGTCACAGTTTTTGCCAATTTGACACAAACCCAGAAATACAAGGGTAGAGGAAATCTCAATTGAGGGATTACCTCCATCAGACTGGACTTTGGGCATGTCTGTGGGGACATTTGCTTGCTTGTTGGTTGATGTGGGAGGGTACAGCCCAATGCAAGTGGTGTCACCCATGGGCAGATGGTCCTGGGTTCTATAAGAAAGCAGGCTGAGCATGCCATGAGGATCAAGCCAGTAAGCAGCACTCCTCCATGGTTTCTGCTTCAGCTCCTGCCTCCAGGTTCCTACCTTGAGTTCCAACTGTGGCTTCCCTAGATAATGGACTCCAACCTGAAAGCTGAATAAACCCTTTCCTCTCAAGTTGCATTTGGTCATAGTGTTTCATGATAGCAATAGAAACCCTAAGACACAAACATAACAAATACCATATCTTAAAAAAAATAGACATCGCTTTTAAATGGCAAAACACAAATAATATTTCATTTAAAATCAGGAAAGAAAAGCTTGACAATTATTCTAATTAATATACAAAATTAAGTAAATATAAATAATTTTAATTTGTTTAAATAGTATTTAAGGTTATTAAGTAAGGACATTAATAGCATATACAGTTGAAGATTTTGTAAAACTACTTTTTTTTTTTTTTTGGTTTTCAAGGCAGGGTTTCTCTGTGTAGTTTTGGTGCCTGTCCTGGAATTTGCTCTGTAGACCAGGCTGACCTCAAACTCACAGAGATCCACCTGCTTCTGCCTCCCAAGTGCTGGGATTAAAGGTGTGTGCCACCACCGCCTGGCAAAAACTACCATTCTTAATTATGCAATTATTCACCTAGAAAACCCGACTACTATAAAAATTATCACAAAATTCTTAACTTACAATGGGATATAGGTAAAAGATAAAATTAACAGCTTCATTCACATTAGTAAAATTTCTCAGGAAAGGCCATCAGGGGCTAGTGAGATGACTCAGTGAGTGAAGGCATTTGCTGCTAAGCCTGATGGTGATCTGAGCTCACAAAGTAAAGAAATAAATTTGATAAAAATGGGGAGCTTCTTTAACAATGGTAAAAACAGCATCTAGAAGAAATAAAAGTATAAAAACACAAATCAAGGTCTCAACAAATAGAAAATGTTCCTGGAGAAAAAGACTTGATGGCTTGAAATATATATATATATATATATATATATATATATATATATATATATATATATATATATATATATATATATATATATATATATATATATATATATATATTGGGGACTGTGGATGTAGCTGAGTTGGTAGAGTGCTTGTCCTGGGTTCCACCTCCAACATAACGTAAGCTAGACATTGTAATTCATGCCTATAATCCTAGCACTGGGAAGGTCAGGCAGGAGGATCACAAGTTCAGGGTCTTTCTCAGTTACATAGCTAGTTAAATGGCCAGCCTGGGGTAGGAGACTCTACCTAACAACAACAAAAAAAAAGTGATAATTGTACTTCAATACAAATTTAATAACTAGCAAACTAGTCTATTATTTTAAATCTTTTTTGAGAATTTCATATTGTACTGTATTACATCATTTTTACCTCCTCCCTCCTCCCTCCAATTCCGCCCATGTCCCCCTCACTGTTCCAAATTCATGACCTTGTCTACTTTAATTATTAATTATTATTACATACACACACATGCATGTATATGCATATATATATGTCCTGATGAGTTCATTTGGTGCTGCTTGTATTTAGGGCTAACCCCTTGAGATTAGATAAGCTACCAGGGCTTGTTCCTGAAAGAGACGGATTCTTCCTGTCTCAGCAGCCATTAATTGCCTATAGCTGTTCATCTAGGAGTGAGACCTTATGGGATTTACCCTACCCCATTGGTGTATCAATTAGTGGTGTCATTATGCAGTTCTTGTGTAGACTACCTGTAGCAGGAATCTTAATTGGTCTTAATAAAAACTCTGAGTCAGATATCAGGGTGAAAGCTGAAAGGTCAGAGAAGCAACAGCCACTAGAGAAACTTCTTACGTCTACCGAATCCTCAGCCTGAACAAGACCTGAGCTCCTGTCTCCTCCCTTCTTATATTCCTCTCTCTGCCCAGCCATATCACTTCCTGTCTCCACCTTCCTAGTGCTGGGATTAAAGGTGTGTGTGCCACCACTGCCTGGCCTCTATGGCTAATTAGTAGCTTAGCTCTGCACTCTGATCTTCGGACAAGTCTTATTTGGTAGATCACAAACAAAATATTACCACAACAAGTACCTTGATGAGATTTTAGGATGCAGCTTCCCTCTCATAGACAGAGGACATTAGCGGCAGGTGTGCTGGTCCCCTTGTTCTAACAGTCATTCCAGCCCCTCTTCCAAACTGTTCTCTGAGACTTGGGAGTAGAGGTTTTGTTGTCGATGTGTCAGTTGGGGCTTGGACACCTTATGGTCTTCTATTGCCACTTTCCTTAACTAGTATTATTGCACTTTCCTTACCTAGTATTATTTCTAACTTAAATTTAATTTCATATTTGAGATTTATTTTTGTTTTATGTGCATGAGTGTTTTGTTCACATGTATGTCTGTGCAGTGCCCATGGAAGACAGAAGAGGACACAGGATCCCTGGAAATGGTATTACAGACCATTGCTAGCCATCATCATGTGGGTGCTGAGAACTGAATGCAGGTCCTCTGGAAGAGCAGTCAGTGCTCTTATTGGCTGAGCCATATCTCTAACCCCCTCTACCTGTATTGTAAATACTTACCCTTATACCCATAGATGAGTGTAGCTCTCACTTCTCCTCTGAGAAGCTTCTTTGTGCAGCACATGGAGGATATTACAGAGATCCACAACTGGTCAAAAAGCAGAGAACAAGTAGCAGATAGCAAAAGATTCAGAGCAAAGCCCAGAGAAGTGTAATAGAGTAATAGAAGGCAGGAGCAGTGGTTTACACCCATACCACCAACATTCCAGGACAAAGGCAGGAGAATCACTGTAGGTTCAAGGACAGCTCAGGCTAGATTGAGACACTCCTTCCCCCACATCCCCACAAACACACAACTACTGCAAAAGATAAGCAGTAATAGAACTTTATTGTGTGATATTTTGATTGCGTTCTGGCAAATAAAGCTTTCTTGGAGTCCGAGGGTGGAGCTAGCCACTAGCTCACTATAGCGATTCAGAGGTCTGTAGACAAAGAGGAGTTAGGAAGTGGTAAGGTGGGGCTGAGAGAGGATCTTGGCCCTTTTGGATGGAGGAACGGAAGAGATAGGAATCAGCTGGCAGCTGCTCCCTGTTCTCTGATTTTTCAGGTTCTTACCTGAATATTTGACTCCCAATTTCTCATTGATAAAGGTGGATTAGATTAACGCTTCATCTAGCATACAAATTTTGGGGCATAAATTCATGAAACAGCTGCTTGTGGCTTTGCAGTCACCAGCACCTGCCAGAGTCACATCGACGATGGCTGGTTTTTCCCTTTCTTCCCCAAGCCCTGTGAGCAAGTCTGGGATTTTCCTGTTGCAGCCTCTCTACAGCAATCTCCACAAGCCCCAAACTCCACATGCACCTGGGCTCCAAATGACCCCCATTCAGGTTGAACAAAAACAGGGCACAACAGCCACTGATCTTTCAAAGGTACCAACAACCCTACCTTTAAAATGGTTAACTGACAAACCTGTCTGGGTGGAACAATGACCTTTGATATCAGAAAAATTACAGGTCTTAGAACAGTTGGTACAGGAGTAGCTAAATGCTCAACATATGGAAGAATTGATCAGTCCTTGGGATTCTCCTGTATTTGTTATTAAAAAGAAATCTGGAGAATGGACAATGGTAACAGATCTAAGAGCTATTAATAAGATGATTCAACCAATGGATTCTTTACAGCCAGGGATTCCCTTGCCTTCTCTATTACCTAAAGGATGGTTTATTATAGTGGTTGATTTAAAAAAACTGTTTCTTCACTCTACCTTTATAAGAATAGGATAGAGAAAAATTTGTCTTCACAGTGACTACTTACAATAATTCTCAGCCCATTAAAAGATATCAGTAGAAAGTTCTCCCACAAGGAATGTTCAACAGCCTCATCCTGTGTGAATATTTTGTACAACAGCTGTTGGAAATGATTTGTAAACAGTTTCTTCAATCTATTATTTACCATTATATGGGTAATATCTTACTAGCTGATTCAAATGTAGATACCTTAGAAAAAATGTTTGAAGAAGTAAAGAAAATTTCACCTTCTTGGGGATTACAAATTGCTCCTGAAAAAATACAATGATGAGATTCTATTAATTACCTAGGTTATAAGATAGGTTTACAAAAAATTCAACCACAGAAGATACAAATCAAGAGAGATCAATTACAAACTCTTAGTGATTTTCAAAATTTGCTGAGAGATATTAACTGGCTATGGCTCACAATTGGTTTGAAGACTCAAGAAATAAGTAATTTATTTTAAATCTTACAAGGTGATAAGGACTTAAATAGTCCAAGAAAATGATAAGTTGAGGATGAGAGAGAATTGGCTTTGGTGGAAAAGAAATTACAGGATGCACATGTGCATCATTTGGATCTAGAGCTTGATTGTATTCTGGTTATTTTACTTTCTACACATTCCCCTACTGGAATTTTAATGCAGAGAGAAGGTGTGTTTTTACCACACAAAAAGAGTAAGAAATTAAAGACCTATGTAGAAAAGGTTTCTGAGTTGATTCTAAAAGGAAAATTGAGGATTCATCAATTAGCAGGAACAGACCCAGCAGAAACTGTAGTACCTTTTAGTAATGCTGAAATTTCCTCTTTATGGGCAGAAAATGAACATTGGCAAAGAGCTTGCAGTAATTTTTTGGGAGAGATTAACAAATATCCCAAAAGTAAGAGACTTCAGTTTATAAAGAGAACTAACTGGATCCTTTCTCACATTATATGGGGAACACCAATTTCTGAAGCCCCTACATTCTATACTAATGCACATAAAACAGGAAAGGCAGGGTATAAGTTAGGAAATTTAAGTAAAGTGGCTCAAAGCCCTTATGATTCTGTTCAAAAGTCAGAATTACATGCTATTTTTATGGTGTTATTAGATTTTCCAGAACCTCTTAATATAGTTACTGACTCTCAATATGCACAAAGAGTTGTTTTACATATCAAAACTGCTGAATTTATTCTAGATGATTCATACTTGACTTTTTTATTTATTCAGTTACAAGAAATAATCAGAAATAGAAATTATCCCTTATATATAACACATATTAGATCCCATTGGGTCTACCAGGCCCTCTAGCACATGGTAATGATGAAGCTGATCAATTATTGGTAGGCCAGAAGCCTCAGAATTTCATAAGAAACACCATGTCAATAGCAAGGATTTGAAAATAGATTTTTCTATCACTTGGCAATGAGCCAAGGAAATTATAAGGAAATGTCCTACTTGTTCTCTGTATAACCAAACTCCACTACCTGCAGGAAGTAACCCAAAGGGTACTCAAAGAAATAAAATTTGGAAAATGGATATATTTCATTGTGCAATATATTTTCATTTGGAAAATTAAAATATGTACCCAATACCATAGATACATATTCAGAATTTCAATGGGCAACTGCTTTGAGTTCTAAAAAGTCTGATTCTGTAATCACACATTTGTTAGAAGTTATGGCCATCATAGGGATAGTTGTAGAAATTAGGACTGACAATGTTCCAGCATATGTCTCTAGTAAAAAATGGAACAGTTTTTTGCTTATTACAACATAAAGCATATTACAGCTATACCACACAATCCTACAGGGCAAGCAGTTATAGAAAGATCTAATCGAACTCTAAAATATATGCTTAATAAACCAAAAAATGGAGTAAAGACCCCCCAGAGATAGATTGCACAATGCTTTATTAACTTTAAGTTTTCTAAATGCTAATGAGAAAGGAATGATAGCTGTGGATAGACATTGGATAATAGAAAAAAACTACAGAATTAAATCAGTCTCTATACTTTAAAGATGTGTTGACCTCAGAATGGAAACCAGGATATGTGTTACATTGGGGAAGAGTTTTTATTTTTGTTTCCACAGGAAAAGAAAAACTATGGATACCATCAAAATTAATAAAGATTGGATGTGAAGAAGAGAGATCTCTTGATTAGAAGAGGTGATAGTTCATCAAACAGTGCAACAATTCAATCTAAACTAACTTAATAAGACTAAAAAATGCTTTTCATTTGATCAGATATAACTTGCCAAAAGGGAAACTGCTGTGGATATCGTTCTGTATAAATAAAGCACTGATTGGTCAGTGGCCAGGCAGGAAGTATAGGTGGGACAAGGAGAGAGGAGAATTCTGGGAAGCGGAAGGCTGAGGGAGACACTGCCAGCTTGGCGATGACAAGCAGCATGTGAAGATGCCGGTAAGCCACGAGCCACGTGGCAAGGTATAGATTTATAGAAATGGATTAATTTAAGATATAAGTACAGTTAGCAAAAAGCAGAAAGCCTGCCACGGCCATACATTGTAAGCAATATAAGTCTCTGTGTTTACTTGGTTGGGTCTAAGTGGGCTGTCGGACTGCCGGGGCTCAGCGGGACCCTGAGGGAAGCTCTCCAGCGACAGGAAACTCCCCAAAGTTAGGCTTGGGACAGGGTTGTTTTTTTTTTTTGTCTTTCCAGGAGAACGAAGGCATCCAGCTAAGGAATCTGAAGACCACTGGACAAATTAGACATCTGAAGTAGAAGGGTAAATTATCCAGAGAAAATGTGCCAAGAAAAAGAGTAAATTGGCCTACTGACATATCACATTTCCAACAGGATAAAATTTCATAAATCTTCCCAAATGTTTCTGCTGTTTGCTACAGACATATAATGCAAATAATCTTTTTATAGTCCAAGTTCAATCAAAATTTAAAGCTGGCTTTGGAGTAGGAGTATGGCTCTCTCCTTCTCTAAACCCAAGCACGCTTGTTATTGCAAAATCCAAAATCTCTGTCTCATGTCAGAAGATCCAAAATTAAGTAACTATTTTTTTTTTTCAAGACAGGGTTTCTCTGTGTAGCTTTGGTGCCTTTCCTGGAATTCACTCTGAAGCCCAGGCTGGCCTCAAACTCACAGAGATCCACCTGGTTCTGCCTCCCAAATGCTGGGATTAAAGGTGTGTGCCACCGCTGCCTGGCTCTTAAGTGACTGTTCTATTGCCATTTTGACTCTTTAAAAGTTTTCTTAAGCTCTAAATATTATCTCCAAATTTATAAGATATATATATATATATATAATTATAATTTTTTGTCATGATATTAATGGTCATATAGAGTACCAACTAATTCTAGAAAAAGGCTTCATCTAGTTTCCTATACATGATTTCAGGTTTGAGTCTCTACCAGGTAACTAGGAATTAAGTTTTGTACTCTGAATGTACATAACAAATTATGGTCCTCTAACCTCTTCAAGATCTGATGCATATGACATTTAAAATGTTTACATTTTCTGCAGTGAACCATGACCATGCCTGACAGCAATCTTTGAAGTCTCCAAAAGAAGGATGGGGCCCTACAACAATGATTCCACTGGAACTGTGGTACTAAGCTGACAAACACCACCCTAAAGTCAGCTTTGGACTACAAACTGCTCAGGACAATTTCAAGGTGGCTAGCTGAGATGGCCCAGGCCCACAGACTACTCTAGCTAGGATTTGAGACAAACTCTGCATTTTCCCATTACATAGAAATTAGACAACAAATGATACAGCTGGCTCTCCCAGGAATTTGCAATTATCCCAAGTTTTTTTCAGGGTCTCCTAAAGATGCCATCACACCCAGACAGCAGGAAGTAATTTTAAGAACATGACACCCACATTCTCAAGAGGTGGGGTGGATGGTTTCTGGTTTTTTGGTGGGCTATGGATACTTGTCATTGTTGGGGGCGGTTGGTTACAAGTTGTCACTGGTAATAGGAAAAAACTTGAACAAAGGAGATTAGCTTCAGGGATCTTGTTTTGAAAAGAAATAGGGATGAAAGGATAAAAGGGTAGATTATTAAATCTACTTTTAAACCAAAAAGCAAGTACTAGTCTTAAATATTTTATATTGGTATGGATTTTTGTATATGGATACAAATTTGAGATTATTTTTGTAAGAACATACCATACACACATTTCTACTCTTGTTCAAGGTATTGTACCTATACAGTTCATTGAACAATGTAATATATTTCTAGTCCTTGAAAGCTATTATTACAAATGATTTAGGATAATAAAAAATGCAGGTTAGTAGGTAGTCACCTATTACAATCACCCTTGTAGTCATGTTAGGTATGTTTTTAAGGTCAAACAGAGATATATTTTAGATCGACAAGTGGTCTTCAAACACTTCAGAGATCTACAGAATAAGGCATTTAAGATGTTTTCATGGGGGCTGGAGAGATGGCTCAGCAGTTAGAGCACTGGCTGCTCTTCCGGAGGTTGAGTTCAATTCCCAGCAACCACATGGTGGCTCACAACTGTCAATAGTAGGATCTGATGCCTTCTTCTGTCATGCAGGTGTACATGAAAATAGAGCACTCATATACATAAAATAAATAAATCTTTTTTAAAAAAAGATGTTTTAATAACATAAAATCCTTTTTTTTCTTATGACATTGAGACATATCTGCTCCTGGCAGCACCAATATACTTCAAAGAAGATGATGGGCATTAAAAAAAACTCCATATTCAGTTTACTTTCTTTGTGGCAAAAGTCAGCCACTGGGCAAGAAAGTGGCCTTGCCTCAACTGCTGACAGTATGCTGTCCAAATTGGACAATCAGGACACAAAAGTAATTGACTGCAGAACTTTGCCAAGACAAGGCAGGACAGTCCTTCAAAAATTCTGCTTCACAGAAAAGTCTGTCAGATATTGTAGGCCTGTAGGCCAAAGATGGATGTCCCAACGTTACAGAGGAACCTTGGGTGACTGTCCAGGCAGCCAACTGTTTCTGCTATTTCTTAGTTTTGGAAGTTATTTGTTCTGCAGTTCCTGTTTACTTAGGTAATATTATATCCTTCTCAGGTCTCTGATGGAGCTGAAGACTAGGCAGTTATAGTTTTCTTTGTTACCAAATTCTTAAAAGAAATTCACGAAACAGGTGTAAACTGTATAGGGTTGAGAGACATAAAAGGATAGGTTTTGGTTGGTAATCCAAGTTAGGATAAAAAGTGAATTAGGTACAACTTTTTGGACTCACCAAGATAGGATAGGTAATGGACTATTTACTCTGAATTTGCCAAATGCAAATGGACTAGGCATTGTTAATGTATTTATTGCCTATATATATTTGTATATAGTTATTGCACTTATTATATCTAGTTTTACTATGTTAGCTAAAACATTTGCTTTTATTTAGGCAAAAGGGTGGAGTGTTGTGTGATATTTTGATTGTGTTCTGACAAATAAAGCTTCCTTGGAGTCAGAGGGTGGAGCTAGCCACTAGCTGACCATAGGGGTTTGGAAGACTGGAAGACTGTAGACAGAGAGGAGACAGGAAATGGTAAGGCAGGGTTGAGACTATCTCAGCCCTTTTGGATGGAAAAACAGGAGAGGTAGGAAGCAACTGGTGGCTGCTCCCAGTTCTGTGATCTTTCAGGTTCTTATCCCAATATTTGACTTGTGATTTTTTTTATTGATAAAGATTAATTAGATTAATGCTTCAGAACTTACATCAATTTCTATTACAAAAAAAAATAATAAATCCACAATAGTCAAATCATTATGAACGGAGTACAGCATGTAAAATAGATCCATACCGTGTAGTAAAATTCCCAGAAAGAAGCAGTGACCACAAGACTGACTGATCAGAACTACAGCAGTGGAGTTTTGAATGTTGCAAATCTGGAGCCAAATTATATTGAGACATGTTATTCTCCTGTGCATGTGACCTAACCTCTTTATTATATTGAGACATGTTATTCTCCTGTGCATGTGACCTAACCTCTTTATTATATTGAGACATCTTATTCTCCTGTGCATGTGACCTAACCTCTTTATTATATCGAGACATCTTATTCTCCTGTGCATGTGACCTAACCTCTTTATTATATTGAGACATGTTATTCTCCTGTGCATGTGACCTAACCTCTTTATTATATTGAGACATGTTATTCTCCTGTGCATGTGACCTAACCTCTTTATTATATTGAGACATGTTATTCTCCTGTGCATGTGACCTAACCTCTTTATTATATCGAGACATCTTATTCTCCTGTGCATGTGACCTAACCTCTTTGGTACCATTAGGTAGAATCTTTGGGATGTTCAAAGTTCAGACTCCTAGTTCCCATCAATCAAAAGGGTTAAGAAATCCATCAAAAGGCATCTGAAGAGTATAACAAAGTCACCATCACCTCCAGTGTTGCTAAAAATCCTACCAATCTGATGCACCCACCAATGCATTTGAAAAGTATGTAGATTTGTTGTTCTGTTTCTATACAACTTCTTAAAATTGGAACATGGAATGGAATTTAGGATAACGTGAACCGGTGTGGCCATATTTGGCTCCAGAATAAATGATATTTTATTCCCTTTGTCTTAGTTAATGTTTCTATTGCTGGGATGAAACGTCATGACCAAAAAGCAAGTTGGGGAGAAAAGGGTTTATTTGGCTTATGCTTCCATATTGCTGTTCATCACTGAAAGAAGTCAGCACCGGAAGTCAAACAGGTCAGGAACCTAGAGGCAGGAACTGATGCAGAGGCCATGGAGGAGTGCTGCTTACTTACTGGCTTGCTCAGCCTGCTTTCTTATAGAACGTAGGACCACCAGTGCAGGGATGGCACCACCCACACTAGGCTGAGCCCTCCTCCATCAATCACTAATTAAGAAAACGCCTTCTATTATGGAAGCATTTTTTCCACCGAGGTTCTCTCCGTTACGATAACTCTAGTTTGTGTGTCAAGTTGTCCGAGAATAGCCAGCACACCCTCTGAGGTGAACTGTGTTTCTAGACTAACAAAATTATTAAGAATTTAAAATTTCACTGGGAAAACTATTCACTACAAATTACCTTTTCCAAGTCCAAAACCAAAAACTTAAGGTCACATTGCTTCATTCAGGCCCCAAATGCAGACATTTTTACCTTCCATCAACTTGTATAACTCATACACTGTCTTTAGGCTATGAAACACAACCATTTATTCACTAACTCCCAAACTACTCAACGGACTGGTTTGACACAAATCTCTTCCCTTCATCTCCCACACCACAACCCCATCCACGCTGCCTCTAGTTTGGTCCATGGCCCAGTTAAAGGAGTCGCCTGCCTAGAGGCCAATAGGTTTGCTCCCCGAGGACCTTATAGCTGCCACCGAAATCCAAGGCCAAAGCTAAGCAGGGAAGCAGGCTCCAGCTGCTCTTTAAGGTTCTGGGCTCATCTGCAGGCACCGGAAAAGCAGGCGGTCCTGGAGTGCTGGGTCCTCGCTCCACCGGGCCGAGCGCTCCCGTCCCTGCTGGAGCCCTGCGGTGATCTCCCGGAAGCCGAGGCTGGCCCACACCCCACACTAGCTGAGGGTAGACTTGCACCGCCAGGGAGGAGACCTCGGGAGAAAGCCCAGCGTTAGTAATGCCGCTTTGCGGCTACTTGACCTCCGGTAACAGAGGGAGGGCGGAGCCTTGACCCTGCGCATGCGTGCTGGACACTGTTTCCTGCCGGGCCTGTGTGCGCATGCGCGGGGACTAGAAGGCGCGGGTTGCTAGTTTGCAGCTTTGCTTGGTGATTATTGTGCTTTAAAACCCTACCGAGCCATGCAGCGACTTTGCT